ATCTTCATCAGTAAATATTTTAAGTCTTCTTCACATTCATCAAGCAAGGTTGTATCATCTGCATGTCGCAGGTTGTTAATGAATCTTCCTCCAATCCTGATGCCATGTTTTTCTTCATATAACCCAGCTTCTTGGATGATTTGCTCAGCATACAGGTTGAATAAGTACGGTTGAAGAATACAACCCTGTCACATACCTTTCTTAATTTTAAACCATTCAGTGTTCCCATGTTCTGTTTGGGCAACTACCTCTTGGTCCATGTATAGATTCCTCATGAGCATAATTAAGTGTTCAGGAATACTATCTCCTTCTAATTTTGAGATTCTCAGATATAAGCATGTTCTTTTTTTTTTTGGTAACTTTTTGTGAATTGAGTGAAAGTTTACAGATAAGATCATCACATTTACATTCAATAAATCATACACTTTGTGTCATCTCAATGATTATAATCTCCTACCTGCACCAGCAGTTATCCTGCTTCCTTCCTATGGTTCCTATTTGCATTTCCACACACCATCCCCCTTCCCATCCCTTCTCAACTTTGTCCTTAGGAAAATGGTGTCTTTTTGCTTTTGAATGATTGACCATTCCATGGGAGTTTACTTTGCTAGTGTTGCTGTCTTCCCCTGCTCCCCTTCCCCCCTGCCCCCCGGCTGGAAATTGGGCTATGAGGGTGAGTTCCTTTTCAGACATGAAGGGTATAGTCCAGGGCCGTAGACATGAAGGGTATAGTCCAGGGCCGTAGACATTAAGGGTGTAGTCCAGGGCCGTAGACATGAAGGGTATAGTCCAGGGCCGTAGACATTAAGGGTGTAGTCCAGGGCCGTAGACATGAAGGGTGGTCCAGGGCCATAGACTCAAGAGTTTTGGTCCACATTTTCTCCCACTCTATCTGGGACCCTTTAATGTGATCCCTTTCAGAGCAATTGGTAGTGGTAGCCAGGCACTGTCTAGTTCTTCTGGCCTCAGAGTCATGGAAATTGATGTTCACATTGTACTAACTGATTCCAAGCCTCTTCAGTTCTCATCACTCTTCTTTCTTCCTCATATGAAGACACTAATAAATAGGTGTACCTTCGATGGCCGCTCATGAGCTTTCAAGATCCCAGAAGCTACTCACCAAAGTAGAGTGTAGAGCATAGTCTTTGTGGACTATATTATACCAGTTGACCATGGAGTTCCCTGAGACTGGTCCTCAACCCCCAGGACCAGCAACTCATTGCTTTAAGATGTTTGATTGTTTACTGTATGCTCCACCACATTCATAATTGTGTTTGCAGAAAATGTAAATACTCACGCACAAATATCTTCTTTCAAACTCATATATTTGTGAGTTAAATAAATATTTATGTCCCATTCCTCCCATACCCATTCAGCCTATGCCTCAATCCATGTATCTATATAGCTAATGCTATTGTTCCAAGGTTGTGTGTATATTACTATTTACCTTTATCCCCTTTAGTCCATGCCTACTTCTCTGTGTCTTCACCTATTTCCATAATTCTTCTGCCACCTTCCATCTTCTTATATATTGCCCTCCCCGTCACCCGAGCTAATGTGTCTACCCTCTAGCTAGTGAATTCTTCTCTCCCTCCAACCCTTGGTAGCCATCAAAGAATGTTCCTTTTAGTATGAAAACCTTTAAGTTTTTACAATGATTGTCTCACATAATATTTGCCTTTTAGTGATTGGTTAATTTCACTCAACATAATTTCCTCCAGGTTCATCCATGTTATGAGGTGTTTTGCAGATTCATCATTATTCTTCCACATTGTACATAGTATTCCATTGTGTGTATGTACCAAAGTTTGCACAAACTGCCTTCTAAACACCGCTTTTGCTGTGTCCCAAAGGTTTTTGTATGTTGTATTTTCATTCTCATTTGAATCAAGAAATTCTTCTATTTCATTTTTTATTTGTTTTATTACCCAGTAGCTTTTCAGCAGGGTGTTATTCTGTTTCCATGTATTTGGTTGTGTTGCCCTGATCTTCCTGTTTTTGGTTTCCAATTTTATAGTATTGTGGTCTGAGAAGATGGTTTGTAGTATTTTTGATGTTTTAAAATTTATTGAGGCTTGCTTTGTGGCCTAACATATGGTCTATTCTGGAGAATGTCCCACATGCCCTGGAAAAGAATGTATATTGTGCTGTTGTTGAGTGGAGTGTTCTGTGTATGTCTAGGAGGTGAAATTGAATGGCTGTGTTTAGTTCCTCTGTTTCTTTGTTGATTTTCTTTCAAGTTGTTAAGTCCTTTTTCGAAAGTGGTGTATTAAACTCTACAACTATTATTGTAGACTTGTCTATTTCTGCAATTCTATTAAAGTGTAATTATTTTGAGGCTCTTTTATTGGGAGCATAGATATTTATTATGGTTATGTGCTCTTGTTCAGTTGACCCTTTCATCATGATTTAATGTCCTTCCCTGTCTTTTATGCTGGTTTTTGCCATACCGTCTGTTTCACCAGAAATTAGTATTGCCACTCCTGCTCGTTTGTGATTGCCACTAGCTTGATAGTACTTTACGCTGGGGCTCCAACCTCAGGCTGGGCAGAACTGGTGTGCGGGATGGGATCACCTGCCGCTGGCTGGGTGGCCACTGGGAGGAGGGTACAGGGGAAAGGGAGAAGAGCACGCATTTTTTGGGTCACCATCCACCTATGTATGCACTGTTGAAGTCCTGAGCAAATAAAGCCCGTGAGCTGGATCTTGCTCCAGTTGAAAAGCCATTTACAATAATTAAATGTGCTGGGTCAGTTGATAGTTTACCACTCCATAGATCTCCTTTTTCTTGGTTTTCTTCTTATTATTGGTAGTTGATCTACTTCTTTGTTCTTTCCTTTTTGAAACCCAAGATTCCAGTATTATCATCTGTATCTGTTTCACTTGGTTTCTCAGGTCTTTGTTACAGAACATCTGGGTAGCATGTCTGTCTAGTCCTCCATCTTGCTGATGATAGTCTCCAGATTGCTAAAAGTTGAGGGGTTTTTTCCCCCAGCTTTTTATTGTGAATTAAGTGAAAGATTACAGAACAAATCAGTTTTCCATTCAACAATTTATACTCGTGTTGTTTCATGCTGTTGATTGCAATTCCCACAATGTAATGTGACTCACCTACTTCCTCCCTGTATTTCCTGTTTCCATTCCTCCTCCTCCTGTCCTAATCCTTTCTGCCTTCTGAACTTTGTTCTTGGGCAAGTACTGCCCTTTTGAACTTGAATTATTAATT